CAGCACAGGAAGAACATGCAAACTCCATGCAGATAGTGGCTGAGATTCAAACTGATGACCCCAGTGCTGCAAGGCATTAAGAGAATAAAAAAAATATTTCCAATAGCGTTTCCCTGGGGCTGATGTAGTAATGAATTTGGCAGAAATAAGCAGTGTTTTTATTTGAAGCGTACATGAGTTAACCTTGAGCTTGTAGAAGAACAGGAGGAGTCTGCTACTCATCTGTGAAGTGGTATGTACCCAGGCATGAGTCTCCTCACTGCAGCTGTCAGTGTGTGATGTCATTCCTACCTTGGCCTGTGGTGAGGGCTGTGTGAGAACAGCGTGGAGTCTGGCAGGGTGTGAGGATAATGAATGGTTTTCTTTCAGAGCAAAGTTATATTACCAGCACAAGAATCATGACAAAACTCTTCCCATAAACATCTTCTACCGATACACACAATACTTCTCCATTATGGTTTTTTTTTTATGTGGCCGTTTTTAGGCTTCAGAATTCAGCGATCATGTAATATCAGTAAGATTTGAGTTATTTATCTGAATTGAATTCTTGATGCTGCATGTCTACATGCATACGGTTTCATATTTGGATTATAGATTTCATATAAGGAGTCTTAAAATAAACACTCTCTGGTTTTATCTATAAATTTAGTAAGTATAATTAAATTTGTGCTTATTGATTGAGGTCCATGTATTTAAACCCAAAACAAAAACTGTACTACATTACATCTTACCAGTTCTTAGATGTGGTGGCTGCATTCATTTTCTATTTTAGATCTTTTCACTTTGTCCTAAAGTGACAACGCTCAGTCACTATACTGTATCTGGGAAGGAGCAGTGATTGTCATTCTAGGTTGCTCACTACTAAATTTGAATTACAGAACATCATCTTGACTCCATACCAAAGGGGGGGGGGGGGGGGGGGGGGGGGGGGGTCTGGTAGTTCACGGGTGTGAACTGAGAAAGCAAGAGGTAAAATAATTGGATCTCAGGAATCCCACCAATGCAATACGTGGCGGTTCTGTCCACAGTATAAGTGGAAGGGTGTCATCAAATACTAGGCAAGCCTGGCAATATTGCTTGAGGTTTCATAACAGCACAGAGTTAAATGGATTCATAACAGGATCAACAGGTGGATTTTTGTATTAATTGAACTGCTATAACAATATACTTTTAAAGCTGAAATTTATTTATAATTTGACTGCCCTGTTTCCTTCCACCCCATCAACTCCCTATATATTTTTTTACTTCCTTTCCTTTTTCATTAAGACTTATTTTAAACCCACTGATGTCATCCCTGGCTCTCACTTCAAGCAATGAAACAGATGATGGCTGTTGGGAGGAAATGGCAGGATGCTGTGCATAGCTTTCTGAAAACATCACAGCACCCTGCCTCGTTGCTCATATCAAGAAACCTCTCCGCTCATTAAAGGAGTAGACTGCCTCTTGGGGGGAGTTATGCAAATATCAATATTACTGGACTGGTTGGTGTCAGTCTGGAGAAGTGGGAATTCCTAGGCGGACTGTCATAGGTAACGTCCACATAACTGGAATATTTAATAAATACATTTTTTCGTATCTTCAGCATTAGCAAAGTCTGCAAAGTGTATAAATACAATTTTATATTCTGTTTCCCTATATGAACTTAACAGGCTTTAGAAGTGTTCATTGTGACTAGTAGGAGGATGCTAACAATACTTGCTTTTCTGTGCAACATAATACTGATGTCTAAAATTATTTGCAAACATTAATGTTTCACCACTTTGATTTAATATCCAGGTAAGTAAAATACCCTTTTTTCAGGTAAAAAAATGTGCATTTTTAATTTTTTTTTTTTTTTTTGTTTCTGGAGCCTCTAAAGCATTGTACCAGCGATCAGCAGATCGCAGGTGCTATGCAACTCTCCCCCTGACCTGTCAGTACATCTGCTTGCTCACACATCCCGTATGGGCAAGCTACTTACTGGCAGGCTGAATGAACTACCACGGCGCTGTGGAGCAGCATGGTAGTTCATTGAAAGCTACAAGCTGAAAGCCGCAAAGGCTGTCGGAACTCGTAGTTTTCCCATTCACAGAATATTGTTTTTTAAAACTGTGGCAGCTAGTGGGGAGGAGATTCCCCCCCCCCCCCCCCCCCCCCCACTAGCTGTCACAATGGGGGGGGAGGGGTTGTGGAGGGCTGGTAATATGTTATGAAAGGTGGACTTTAATCCAGCATTGCACAATGTTTGGTAAGTAACCGCAACCATTCAGTCATTTTCACTGGTCTAATGTGATTACATTGTTAAAAAAATATGATTGACTGTTGTACAATATTATTATATTGCCTGCTTCACATTTGTTTTTCTTTTGACAGAATTCTGTTTGTTGTCTGAAATACAAGGAGGTTTTGAGAAGGAATCCATTGAAAAGCATGAGCAGCCAAAACCACTACTGAATAACACTGTGTCACTGTTTGAATGGGACATGGTGGATGGATGCGGAAATATCTCTGTGGATGGAAAGGCCGTCTCAAGCAGTGACTCTGTGTCTGTCATAAAAGAAGGTGAGTTAGAGTGAATATTAGCCCCATTTCCTGTATCTGAGAACTGCTACTTCCTCACTCATTTATTTACTTTCCATAGTATGCCTCAAAGCCACTTCCTTTTTATATAAAGCAGGTTAGCTTGCATCACATGTAGATGCATCTCAAAAGAAATAGGTTGATAGAGATATAGATATATATATATAGATATATATATATATAGATATATATATATATATATATATATATATATATATATATATATATATATATATAACCCTGATCTGTTTGATAAAACCTGTTTTTTGTTTTGTTTTTTCCCTATGTAATTAGTAAGGTATTACTTATACAGAGTAAAAATAGAAACTGTCCACAAATCTGGCAATAAAAAGGGAACGGGAGAAGCTCCAAGTGCAAACTTTAGGACAAGTTTACTAAATCACAAAATTGGCCATTCACACTTTAAAAAAGATAAGAAGGCTCATCGCTTAAAACACCACCGTGACAAGATTGCTCATCTCTCTGGGATAAGGAAGCTGGCTGGGAATTAGTCAACATCTGGAATGGGGGTGGAACGCACCGTTGACCGTAGCGCTGGCGTGATGACGTCACTGGAAGGAAATGTGTTTTTGAGCATGCGCAATGCCAACTCTGGGCATGCACGCTCCTTTTTCGAGCTCTTCCTTGCTTTTGCTAAGCTTGACAAATGAGCTCGTATGCCCGGAGTTGGCATTGCGCATGCATGTTCTGAGGACATCCTTTCAGTGATGTCCTCACAACAGTGCTGTGGTCCACGGTGCATTTCAGTCTTCTTTCCGGATGTTGGATAGTTCCCAGACAGCTTTCTAGCCCTTAATCAGGCTCTTCCTTCTGCCCTTTTGCCACAAGGAAACTTTCTTGTACGGAGACGCTTATCCCATTTCCACACCTTACTACATGAGTACCCCACAGGGGAATACCCTCATCAGTAGCAATGGTGGAAATCGGGTACGTGGAAACCACATAAAAGCTTTGGCTTCAGGCAAAATCATTGCCAATGTAGACATATTCACTTCTGCTGTGTGCAAAAGCCTCAGCATAGTTGCACTTTATTCTAATCTATCTCGACATGTAAGAGCTGCAGAGACTAAAACGCCATTTCCTATTCATGAACAAAAAGAATAGGAAAAGAAAAGGAGGAAATAGCCCCCACCCCTTTGTTATGGGACTGTTGCAGGGGAAATAAGGTTTCAAGTCCCCCCACTGTATAAATACAGTGGGGGATCATTCTAGAAGGTCAGAAGGGTTTTTATTCTTCCACCCCCACTGGCATGTGGAGGAGAAAAAAATGTTAGTTTCGAGTTCCCCCAGGATATACTAATATAATGGGGAAGCTTCTAGAAAATAGGAGTTTTAAGCCCCAACTACACCTGGACAATTTTCAGACCCCCCCAGGGTATATTATATAATGGGGAAGATTCTAGAAATTGAGTTTTTAGCCCCCCACTACACCTGTACAATCCTGGAAGAAAAAATTGAGCAATAGGGAGAAGAATTGGAGAGAGGGGAGGGCTGTAAAAGGGGGGGTCCTTGGGAGGCATCTCTGTGGTGCTCCCTCCCACCTGCCCTTTTCTTCGCTGTCAATTGGTAAGTATCATATTTAAGGTTAGAGGTTTAACTGTGAGTGATTGTCCAAGAATTGTTGTCACTCCAGTGTTGGTGGTGATATATAGTGTGTGTAACACTTATAGCAGCCGGGAGTTTACATAAAATTGCAATCTAGCAACCGCTGTCTATAAACAGTGATGGTAGACAAGTGCTCAGTTATGCCACATCCTCAGGTCACCCATGAAAAGTGGACTGCTGTGCAGTTAATGTGGATATCATTATGTACTGCCACATGATCAAAAATCTTGCCCTTTTAGAAGTTTTGTCACTTTTGGCGAAATTGCTGAGGAGGAAACCAAATCATCTTTTACAGTAAAAGGCAGTGGTAGAATATAAAGGTGTGTTTTGTGTAAGTTAAGTTAATGGAAGGTGAATAAGCTGGACACTGCTTAGAATAAAAGGCCCTCTAAGGCTACTTTACAAGTCATTAACCACTTGCCTACAGGGCACTTATACCCCCTTCCTGCCCAGGCCAATTTCCAGCTTTCAGCGCTCTCACACTTTGAAAGAAAATTGCGCGGTCATACAACATTGTACCCATATGAAATTTTTATCATTTTTTGTGACAGAGCTTTCTTTTGGTGGTATTTAATCACCTCTGGGTTTTTTATTTTTTCTTAAACCAACCAAAAACCACTGAAAATTTTGAAAAAAAGTTTTTCTTAGTTTTTTGTTTATAAAATTTTGTAAATAAGTGATTTTTTTCCTTCACTGATGTGCGCTAATGAGGCTGCACTGATGGGCACTGATAGGTTGCACTGATGGACACTGATCAGTGGCAGTGATGGGCACTGATGAGGAGGCACTGGTAGGCGGCACTGACGGGCACTGATAGGCGGCACTGACGGGCACTGATAGGCGGCACTGATAGGCGGCACTGACGGGCACTGATAGGCGGCACTGACGGGCACTGATAGGCGGCACTGACGGGCACTGATAGGCGGCACTGACGGGCACTGATAGGCGGCACTGATGGGTGACACTGAAAGGTAGCTCAGATGGGCACTGATATGTGGCATTGATATGTGGCACTGATGACCACTGACACAAGGCACTGACAGGTTGCTACACTGATCATCAGGGCACACTGATCATACATGTACATGTCCCCTCCGCGGAAAGCCGATTACCTGCTCTCCTCTCCTCTCGAGCTGTCAGCGTGACAGCTTGAGAGGAGAGAAATGCCGATAACCGGCATTTCCCTGTTTACATGTGATCAGCTGTGATTGGACACAGTTGATCACATGACTGAGCCGACATCTTTGGCTCTTTCTGTGATCGGTGATCCGCTGTGTTCGAGGGACACAGCGCACCGCTGATCGCCGAGCATGCGCAGTGAGAATGGGAAGACGTTATGATGTCCTCCCAGAACGAGAGAGAACCACCTTGCGTCCGTCATATTACTATATGGTTAAAGACCCCAATGCATTTAGTGCAATATGGGAATTACATTACCTATACAGTCATGGGCAAAGCAGTAATTAAGGGTTATAAAGTGCCCAGTACAAATAATCAATATTGATGCAGCGCTGATATAATTAACAATAAGGTGGGTTTCAACCGTGAGAAAATAGTGAATTCTGTGTCAAACAGCTCGCACAATCTCGGCCCACAGTGACTCCCTCTATAACATATAATTGCTGTTTATAGACGGTAAAGGCAAAAAATGCAGTCTACAGTAGATATAGATGCATAAACACGTTTTAGAGGACACACATGCTCCTGTGCTCATGCAAAGTGGTAGGTGATAATCCTTGTATGGCTAGCATGCCCGCTCACCTTCCACCTGCGACCCACAGGGGCCAAATAGCCTTACGGGTCACACCTTGACCCTATGCGTTTTCTCCAGGTGCAAGACACTCTTCACTCTCCAATGCTCTCTCCTTCACCATCTGCTATTCCCCCTGAATAGGTACCGCTGTGCATGTACTCAAAAGCTCATGGGATGGTGACAATCATGAAACAAAAACACAAAGATCCTCCATAGTGCAAAACTGTATATCACGTTTATTCCGTTTTAAAACCGCCAAGTTGCAACTCACATTTCAGCAGACGAAATTTCACTTGTGACACCTCTCATGGGTGTACTGAGGCACTCTGGTGTAGCAAAATGGCGCCAACCCGGAAGTACGTCACCACGTCACTACGTCACATCTACGCGTTACGCCACGCCCCTCGTAGCTTCGTCAGGAGGTGTCACAAGTGACCCGTAAGGCTATTTTGGCCCCTGTGGGTCGCAGGGGGAAGGTGAGCGGGCATGCTAGCCATACAAGGATTATCACCTACCACTTTGCATGAGCACAGGAGCATGTGTGTCCTCTAAAACGTGTTTATGCATCTATATCTATTGTAGACTGCATTTTTTTTGCCTTTGCCTTTACCGTCTATAAACAGCAATTATATGTTATAGAGGGAATCACTGTGGGCCGAGATTGTGCGGGCTGTTTGACACAGAATTCACTATTTTCTCACGGTTGAAACCCACCTTATTGTTAATTATATCAGCGCTGCATCAATATTGATTATTTGTATATATATATATGTCCATTTAAAAGGTGAGGATTGGATGTTGGCAGCTGTCTTTATATTATATATTGTAAACGTAGCAGCGCAGGTGGATTTACTACTTATTTCCTTTGATTTATAAAGTGCCCAGTGCAGTGAGGTCCCTGAAGCACTGAGGTTGTTGGAAAAAATGTACCAATCTCCTGAAGTGCAAGCATTGCGCTGGAGTTACCATATTTTGGTATTGGAGAAAATCATTCTGCCGTATCGCATAGCAAGGGCACACATGTAACTTTCAGGTACATGTAATCAATGCTTTGTGTGAGCTTTTTCCCCACTTGCAGATCGCTTTTCAGAGAGCATTTGACAGGCGTGGGGAGGTGTAGTTTTGCCTCCTTATTGCCTGCTTTAATCCCTTTGAACTCTGCACTAGCGTACCACAAACACATGCATTCATTGAACATGGTTGTGGAATGCTTGCATAGGGGCTCCTCTCACTTGAATATGTCTCGCTTAGGGAACGTTATGCCTGCTAAAAACGACAGGGGCTATAATTTCTGCCATGTACACTCCCAGGTGCCACACTTACTGTTATAAGGGGAGCTGTTGAGGGTTGTAAAATGTCACAATCCTGGAGTTTTATACCCCCCCATCTGCTAGTGTGAAGGTGCCCTAAGACCCATGTCGCACAAGCAACTTTTAGCAGCTACAGGAGACTGTTTTGTTTGCTGTTATCCAACTAGATAAAGATTTGCTGTTGCTGGCCTCAATTGCTTAGCTAGCCAAGTACAAATCGATGGTGTGCTGTGGCCATCAGCAACTGCATTGGATGACATGAGTAGATACTGAAGCTGGCGATCCTGTGCAATGCTGCAAAAAGCCAATCACTTAGCGACTCAGCTACAAATCAATTTCTGTAACACTGTTATTCTGCAGCAGCTACAAATTTCCATTACAAAATTGCTAGTATGGCATAAAGCTAACTGTAACTTCTACTAAAAGCAGAACTTCAGCAAATATTCACTAAATGAAAGAGGCATGTACAGTTGTGTTCAAAATAATAGCAGTGTGTTGAAAAAAGTGAATAAAGCTCAACATCCTCCTAATAGCTTTTATTTCCATACTCACAAATGCATTGGGAACACTACACATTCTATTCCAAATCAAAACATGAAGAAAAATATATCAAATTTGTGTTTTTCCTCAAAAAAAAATGAAGAAAAGTGAATATTAGACTGTTCAAAACAATAGCAGTGTTTTTGTATTCTTCTTTAAAAACTCAAACATTCACTATATAAACTGAAAAATGTTTGAAGATTTTGCTTTCCTTTGAATCACTTAATGAATATTTCGTTGTATAAGCACTGTTTCTGAGAACTGCTGTACATCTGTGTTGCATGGAGTCAACCAACTTCTGGCACCTGTGAACAGGTATTCCAGCCCAGGATGATTGGACTTCATTCCACAGTTCTTCTCTATTTCTTGGTTTTGCCTCAGAAACTGCATTTTTGATGTCACCCCACAAGTTTTCTATTGGATTAAGATCCGGGGATTGGGCTGGCCACTCCATCACGTCAATCTTGTTGGTCTGGAACCAAGATGTTGCATGTTTACTGGTGTGTTTGGGGTCGTTGTCTTGTTGGAACACCCATTTCAAGGGCATTTCCTCTTCAGCATAAGGCAGCATGACCTCTACAAGTATTCTGATGTATTCAAACTGGTCCATGATCCCTGGTATGCGATAAATAGGCCCAACACCCTAGTATGAGAAACATCCCCATATCATGATGCTTGCCCAACCATGCTTCACTGTCTTCACAGTGTACTGTGGCTTGAATTCAGTATTTGGGGGTCGTCTGACAAACTGTCTCCGGCCACTAGACCCAAAAAAACAATCTTACTTTCATCAGTCCACAAAATGTTGCGCCATTTCTCTTTAGGCCAGTCAATGTGCTCTTTGGCAAATTGTAACCTCTTCAGCACGACTTTTTTTTCAACAGTGGGACTTTGCGGGGGCTTCTTGGAGATAGCTTGGCTTCACATAGGCATCTTCTAATTGTAACAGTACTCACAAGGAACTTTACACCTTCTTTGATCTTCCTGGAGCTGATTGTTGGCTGAGTCCTTGCCATTTTGGCTATTCTAGACATTCGAATGGTAGTTTTTCCCTTTCTTCCACGTCTTTCAGGTTTTGGTTGCCATTTTAAAGCATTTGCGGTCATTTTAGCTGAGCAGCCTATCATTTTCTGCACTTTATATGTTTTCCCCTCTCCAATCAACTTTTTAATCAAGGTACGCTGTTCTTCTGATCAATGTCTGGAACGACCCATTTTCCTCAGAATTTCAGAGAGAAATGCACAGTAACCAGCATGTACAACATTTGCTGCCTTCCTTAAATAAGGGCAATAATTGCCACCTGTTTTTTCAAAGAATGACTGACCTCACTAATAGAACTCCACACTGCTATTATTTTGAACATCCCCCTTTCAATTAGTGATTCAATTACACAGAATCAGCAGCATGCATGTCATGACTGTTGGGTCTGTTGGATTTCTATTACTCTACTACACCTGCTAGTAAATTATTTGCCATATAGAAATATTTCTACCAAAAACAGTGATTGATCAGGTTAGTGATGTCGGACTATTATTTTGAACACAACTGTATATTCTTACTTGAGTCTTGGTGTTTTGTTTATTTCTTTGCAGTAGTCCAGTGACTACAGGAGTTTCCTGTAAAGACCTGTCAGTGCTGCTTTCTCACTTAAGCTGGGTACATACGGACCACAATTCATCCGATTTAGCAGGAACCAGATGAATTTCTAGCTGTGTGTGGCACTCTCTGTTCAACAAAAGCTGATCCTTAGACCTGGCTTCTTGGTTGAACGGTCCTGCTGACAAACCAGCATTCAATTAGCCACTGCAGTGTTGATCAGTGGTCTCTAACAGAGGGGGGGGGGGGTGATGAGGGTAGGGAGTCCCCGACTGTCATAATACAATAATGCAGTGGGGGAGATTCCTGCATTCACCTTGCTTGGGTGGATGCAGGAATCTGAGGGTTTTTTTTTTTTTTTTGTTCAGCCCTCTGGTTGAACACCGAAAAAACAGTGTGTACCCAGCTTTATTCTGCAGGGTGACTAGTCTTGTATCTCTGCAGGCAGCCTGTAGTGAGTTGCTGGATCCTTCCCACAACTCTGCTGTCTGCACAGGCCTATGTTAACCCAGAAATTATGCCACTGCTACTTTTACAACATGATAGCTGGGTTCACGAAGGCATTTGGTGCATTTGAGTTCACTTATATCCTTTTTGGCTATTGAGGAATGTATTTCAATGAAAATGTTTGTGCCCGGAGTTCAGCTTTAGACAAAATTCACAACATTTTAGTATATTGTGACACCCTAAAAGGATTTTCTGAAAATTTCTCAACTTGCGTTATAAATCAGCTTGTTCGACTGTTATCTGTATCTTGGTTTTAGATTCTGCAGTGAGCAGAAGAGCTGGCAGTCCAAATGTTCTTTCTCAACATGTATTTCAACCTTTTCTGTTGGTGCAGTTCCCCCAGGGTCAGCTCAGGAGAGAGCCCCTCTGAGATCTGTAAGCCTACACAATGCAGTTTAGTCTAATGCACCCCAGCGTCCTGACTACAAATACCTGCTAAATGCTGATAACTGATTAATAGTTATAGGTTATAAACATTGGCTAAAAATTAAAACACTTTTTGCATCAACATATTATGTGAAGCCTTGTTTTCAAATATTATCCTATTCCTAGTGGGCATTTTAAAAGCTGAGGCTTTATT